GTCGACTTCAATCCACTTGAAATGAAAATTTTTCAACATGTTCAGCAAACTGAAAAGTTGAAAAAAAATCATTCTGCATTGAACAAAACATTTTGTTCAACCTGAAATTTTCAAGCGTTTTTAAAATTTCTTCAAAATAAAACTGAAGGAAATTTCTAAACAACATGTCATTGGAAATTGAAAAATTAAAATGTTTCATCTGGAAAATGCCAAAATGAAATGTTTGATTTTTGGAAGGGTTTGTGTGGGGTGGTGTCACTGAAACAATTCAATGAAATTGACAAACATTCTTGAAATGTTTTGGTTATTCCAAATCTGCGGTTTTTTGGGGGGGAAATCAACAATTTTGACCCAGCTCTAATATCATGTTTTACTCACCTATGGAAGCAAACTGAGAGTCGAGCCCCAACAGTAAAAGCATGAAGAAAAATAAAAAGGACCAAAGTGGGGCGACTGGTAATTTGGAGAGAGCCGATGGATAGGCAACAAATGCCAAATCAAAGCCTGAAATAGAGGAGGAGAAGATACGTTATCATCGTGACCCAGTCAATGCAAAATTGACTCATTTCTCTTAAACTTAAATAATGGGAAATTATATCAGAACTTGGTGTACAAAGTGAGGTCTTGGTTGGGCAATTTAAAGACTAAATCCGACACCATTAAAATCAATGGAAGTTTTGCTATTGACTATAACCAAAGCAGGATGTAGCCTGAAATCGTTGACCCAAACTTCATCAAAGCTCAGGTTTATTAGCTGTGGCTGACTAGGATTGCAGAAAAATACTAACGACATTTCATTACTTTCATTCAGATTTGAATAGGCTAATATTACAGGCAGATCCTGAACGAGAAAGAATTCCAATAGCTAAACAGGAAGGTTTAGAGTTCTTAAATAGATGAGAGGTGAAATTCCTTCTGGTGAGAAGGTCTCGTCTTCCCAAAGGCTTGTGTGCTACTTTAGAACCACTTAAGCCCTACTTTTAGCATTTCAGTGGGACTTAAACTGTGCACAGGCCTTGGGTATGGGGTGAATTTCACCTATAATTTGGAAGATTTTCTAACATGTTTGATGCAATAGGACAAATAGAATCAATAGCAAGCCTGTATTTTCATTTTTTAAAATGTCCTCTTCTATTACCTTATGTATCAATCTATCACTGCTCCTGCCCATCAGCTGAGATAAACTTGATACATAGGGTGGGATTTTCAATAGCACCTTAGTGACTTAGGAGCAGAAGTTCCATTGATTTATGGTGGACAGCATGAAGTCAACTAGTTATGGAAAACCAGGACAGAACATCCTCCTTCTTTCAAGCCTCTATATCAGGGGGCGGCAACCTTTCAGAAGTGGGGTGCCGAGTCTTCATTTATTCACTCTAATTTAAGGTTTTGCATGCCAGTCATACATTTTAATGTTTTTAGAAGGTCTCTTTCTATAAGTCTATAACATAGAACTAAACTATTGTTATATGTAAAGTAAATAAGGTTTTTAAAATGTTTAAGAAGCTTCATTTAAAATTAAATTAAAATGCAGAGCCCCCCGGACCAGTGACCAGGACCCGGGCAGTGTGAGTGCCACTGAAAATCAGCTCACGTGCCGCCTTCGGCGCACGTGCCATAGGTTGCCTACCCCTGCTCTATATGCTGAAAGTGCTTGGCATCAATAAACTACGGTCAGAGCAGCGGAGATTAAATAGGTTTAGAAAACAACTCAAGAGTGTGACAGACAAGAAGCCTTTGTGATGAATAGTGAGACTATCAAACAAACCTGAGTCTACAACTTCAGAGACGGGTCTGTCTGCCAGGAAAGCCATATGTCCCAAAACGGAGAATATCGCAAATCCCGCAAACACACTGGTGAGGCAGTTTACTAAACAGACAGCAATGGCATCGGAATAGCAGTTGTTATGGAACTTATTGTAAGAGGAGAGAGCGACCAGGCCCCCCCAGGCCACCGACAGGGAGAAGAATATCTGAGTAGCTGCATCTTTCCAAACCTAAAACAGAAATAATTTGAGGTAGGTTATTATATTATTTACCCCAAAATACTTGTTCTAACCCATTAGGAGTGTTCTGTAAGGGGTGCTGCCTTTTAAAAAAAAATAAGGTTATGTGAACTTTAGTGAGAAGTGCCATATATCAATGAACCTGGGGAGTGAAGATTCCTATCCAAAGGGCATGAAGGCTGGTCTTGTGCTTAAGGCACTGGACCAGAACCCAGGAGATCTTGATTCTATTTCTACCTTGGCCATTGACCTCCTGCGTGACCTTGGGCAAAGTCATCTAAATGTTCCGCATCTCAGTTTCCCAATAGGTCAGACCGGTGGGGAAAGTACTTTCCTACTGTGCAGGAGCGAGGAGAGATGTAATTCACTGATGTGTCTGGGAGGCGCTGAGATATGAACGTCATAGAAACACCAATACAGAAATAAAACAGACAGCATAGGCCGGCAATGGCGGAAGCTCCCACGCACATGGTCCCACCCGTGCTCCTCAGACTGGGACCTGGAAGAACTGTCTCTACTACTGGGGAGGTAGTCCCGGGTTACACCAACAGTTCAGCTGACGTGCACCAGACACCCATCCACTGAGAACCAAACGATCGATACTGGACACCAACCAGCAATAATATGGCAACAGCCATCGCTGTGACAGAGGAGAGATCTGAATGGACGGCTGAGTGTGAAAGGCTCCAAGCGCTGTCCCCAGCAGGGCCGGCTTTAGGACTTGCGGGGCCCGATTCGGCGGCGGTCCAAGTCTTCAGCAGCACTTCGGCGGTGGGGGGTCCTTCACTCGGCTCCGGGTCTTCCACGGCACTGAAGGACACCCTCTTCCCCCCCGCCGCCGAAATGCCGCCGAAGACCTGGAGTGGACCCCCTGCTGCTGAAGTGCCACCGAAGACCTGGAGCGGACTGCCACCGGGTGAGGAAAAAAAATTTAAAAATTTAAAAGGCACCTAAGACGCAGGGCCCTCTTAGGCGCGGGGCCCGATTCCGGGGAATCGGGGGAATTGGCCTAACGCCAGCCCTGGTCCCCAGCCCCTGGCCAGCCTTTATTATAGCATGCTAGGAAGAACCACACCTAAGCTTTGGTCTAAAAATAGGAGCTGATGTTGGAGGGAACCTCAGAGAAGATCCATGCTAGGAGCAAGTCTCCTCCCTTGCTCTCCACCCCCTATTCTGCCCTGATCTAACTTCCAGGGCAAGGCATACTTTTAGGTGACCAATCTAAAATTGAAGCTCAAACACTCACAAAACCTGCAGATAAAATGCCTTGAAATTCATGCCAACCAAAGCAGGCAGCCTGTAGCGAGGTGAGCACCCGCTCCGGCCCTGGAGGGGTTGGAAAAGCCCTGCAGAGGGCTAGGGCTGGGCAAGGTAAAACCCTGGCTGATTGGGGGAGTGGCTGCAGCTGGGGCCATGCCCCCAAACTAAGCCACTGGGCCTTATAAGAAGGCCAGGGAAGGCAGAAGCAGCAGCCTCTCTCTGACTTGAGAGGGAGACAGGCCTGGCTGCTGGGGAACTCACCCAGGGGACCTAGAGGGAGGCAGGGCTGGGGAAAGGCCTAGGCCAGCAACTCCCCAGGCTGCGGGGCCTAGTTCTAGGCCCACCTAGGTATTGGGCTTGCAGAGGGGCAGCCGGAGGGTGGGTAAAGGCAGCCAGTCCAAACCCCTGTTGCCTGTGATGATCGACTGATAGACTGCAGTCTGCCCCAGGGCGCGGGGGCTAAACAGAGACTGGCAATAGCCACGACTGAGGTGACGTGGGGATAGGCGGTGGGGGTTCCCCTGGGGTGGGGAAACCCAGTAAGACTGTGGGAGGGTTCTGCAGAAGGCAGAACCTGAGATAAGGGCACCGGGGTCCTGGGTGGGACACGGGGGCCAACGGCAAGTGGATCACCGGCCTGCAGAGGGCGCTCCTGGGTCGAAGAGCTCATTCCTGAGGACGACCAGCAGGAGGCGCCACAGGGGTGAGTCCAGATCCTCTACACAGCCCTAATACTCACTCTCATGGCGAGAACTTTATCACCGGGCCATAGGGTACATCCATGGCTAGCGAGTAAAGTTACACACGCCAGAAAAGTGGAGGATGGTAACACAGAAACCTCAGCTGTGGTTGTGATAGCAGGCAACCCTATCCAGACCCCTCTTTGTTCAAATAATGCAGCAGACTTGCCCTTTTTCTGGATAAATGGGCTCCAGGTGGGGATAGAGGGTTTCGCTGTAATTGTGGGTTTCTGGAAGACATGATCCAATCTTAGATACTCACTGGAAGGGAGGGATAAGAGGAGTCTGTCTGGTTAAGAAGGAAGCTATTGTATTCTGGAAACCGAGCCACATGCCAGTCTTTATAAACGTTGAGATTGTGTAATTACCAGCTGATCTAAGCAAGCAAATATTTTATGCTTTCAGAACCACCCCGAGCCTCACCTCTGCCTCCATCAGCTTTGTGAAATTGGACTGTGTTCCAATGTAATACTCAATGCCATCCCGAGCGCCTTCCAGGGTGGCACCTCGGACAAGCAGGATAACGAGGACAACATATGGAAAGAGAGCTGTGAAATAAACAACCTGCCGAGAGAAATGGAGGGAGAAGCATGAGGCTTGGGGGAAAATGCTATATAAAAATGACCAGAAAAGGGCCTGAACCAAACCTCTGGATCCAAACAAACCATTCACTGGATTCATTTCTGGGCTGGAAAAGTCTGGATTCAAGTCTGGACGTGACCGTTCCCTGGTTCATCTCTACAAATTACCAGTCTGGATTCATAAACTGTACACGCCAATGGCAAACAAACCTCGTCCAACCTGTCCCAGTGAGCGCCCCAGGACCTGCCCAAGCCAGCTGGCTATTTACTAAAAAGGTTGAACAAAACGGTGGGAGCAGATTTAGTTACTGAGCAAAGGGAGTTGTAAGCTCGTTGGGGCAGGGACTTTATTCGTACAGCGCATGGCGCAGCGGGGTCACGGGCTATAAACTGGGACTCCTAGGTGCTACCACAGTACAAATAAACAACAACAACAACAACAACTCTGGAGGTGGCACTCCCTGCAGGTTTCACTGTCATTTACCTCTGTAACTGAGGCAGATTAGCTGGTTATGCCTTGCCATAGCATTGCATCATGCTGTGGCCTTGCACCACAACACACTGGCTGCACTGGCTCCAAGAGCCGCTTTCTAATTGCCCAGGGGACACTCCTGTTCTGATGCTGGGAGAGACGGGCTATAGGCCAAAACCCAGAGCCAGTGCCCAGCACCCCTAAAAGGAGGAAGGAACTAGAGGCTGGAATGGAAGCCGGTATGGCCCAAAGAGACGGGAGACGGGGACAAAATTGTGTTGCGGAGACGAGTGAGAGGCAGAGAAAAGTGATGGGGAAGCAAGGAGAGAAGGAGACAGACATGGGAGGAAGGGAAAGAAAATCAAGTTTGCTAGTTGCAGGGAGACAGAGATCCAAGAGAGAAGACAGAGACAGATATTGGGGAGGGGGAGAAACTGAGCAAGGAACTGGAGGAGCCAGGGAGAAGGAGAAACCCATGGGAGCAAAGAAAGAAGAATGAGAGAAGAACGGGGAGTCAAGAAACCAGGCAAGGGGGCCGGGCCTCTCTTAGGAAAATGAGTAACAGTCGCCCCCGACTGAAAGCCTCTTTAGCCCCAGCGGATCCTCCGTCACTCCTGGCCTGGGGAGAGGGGGATTTTCAGGCTGGTTGTGGAGCCTGGCTGGATGGGAGGACTTGGGGTTATGAATGAAAGATCCGTGTGCACTGCTCAGAGCTGTGGCTGCAGCAGGCCCCAAGCCGGCTTTCAGCCAGCCTGCTCGAATAACACTGGCAGAGAGGCCGTGGCAGGCCGGGCTAGCCGCTTGCGTACACCCCCATGGTCGGGGTGGGCTTGTACAGCCCAGGCTGCTGCGGCTTCCCTGCTATTGTTACCGGAGCCAGCGAGATCAAAGCCAGCGTCTCCGGTGCTGCAGTCACTCCTCTGACTATGGTATAGACATCCCCTGAGCACCAACGAGGCCAACCCAGCAGACGTTGCCCCTCTGGCTGCAGCACTGCTGTGCGGTGACGTCTCTCTGTCCGGCTGAGCTGCAGGGCCTGGACTGACTTACGAACTCAGAGCCTGGGGGCTGTCACCTGACTTCAGTGGGCCTGAGTCTGAAAAAAGTGCTCACGCCTAGACCCTGGCTACAGCCTGGAGGGCTCCCGTTGACAGAGACAGGAGTTTACAGTGCAGCAGGAAGCGGCGTGTGCATATTTGTCCGCAGGATCGGGCCCATGCTTTCAGGCTAAACATAGGTAATCTGTAAGTATCACAGGCATGTGCATATTGTGTGTGTGTGCGCGAGTGCTGTGTGTGTGTGTGTGTGCGCGCGTGCATATGCAGTGTGTGTGTGTGTGCGCGTGCACATGCAGTGTGTGTGTGTGCGCGTGCACGTGCAGTGTGTGTGTGTGTGTGTGCATGCGTGCAGTGTGTGTGTGTGTGTATGTGTGTGTGCGTGCACGTGCAGTGTGTGTGTGCGCGCGCGTGCGTGCATGCTTCACAAGAGACCAGGCTATAACAGGAACTCAACCGACGTCTCTCACGTGATCATAAAAAGCCCCAACAGCATCATTCCTGGTGGGATAAGGGACCATTGAGCTCGGGTCAGGGGGGCAGAATCAGGCGTCACATGCTTTATACGTGTCGTGTAAAATATGAGCAAGCGGCAGCGGCAAAGTCAGACAGTGCCTGTGTCATGGGCGAGTGAATCAGGGCCTAACCCCACCAGGTGCTGAGCTGGCCTTGAAGTTGGGATCATCTCCCGGCAGGATCAGTCCCAGAAATCTAGCATGGGTTCCTCCCGACTTACCTTTCCTGAAGATTTGATCCCTTTAAATAATGCAGCTCCGACTATCAGCCAGGATAGGAGCAGGCAGAGGGCCAAGTACCAGACAATTTCACCCGTCTCGTCCAGCCCGCTGGAGCGCCGAAGGGCCACTTTACTGAAAGCACAGAACATCGTGATCAGCATCGCGTCGCTTGCACCAGGGCGTGGCAGCTGCTGGCATGAAGAGCCCACTGATTATCTAGAGCCACCTCTGGAGAGGGGATGCTCATGTCTGTCTAGCTGGTGATGTCACGCCCATGCATCAACTTCCATTGGTGCAGAGCCTGTCAGCCCCCTCCATCCCCGCCTCCTAGCTGGGCTCTTAAATGTGTCCGTTTAAACTTTTAAGCATCTGCTGATTTCAAGCAAGTACTTAAATTCCATTGACTTTCCGGGTAGCAGGCCAGGCTGGGAGTGATGGGAAAGGTGGCTTCTTTGGAGGCTTCAAAGAGAAACCAGTGCTTTCCTCTCACCCCTGCCTTGGATTGACGCTCAGTAGGCGGATAGACACGACTGTGCTGATTTTCAAACGATAACCTTACTGCACAGAGCCAGCTCGGGTTATTAACTAAAAGGATGAGCCCAGAGCTGCCAGGCTGAGAGGAGTTGGAGGAAAACACCTCTCCAACGAACCAGCTAGTCTTTCCACTCAATTACCATTAGACAAATGGAAGTCGGTAGATTCCAAGTTAGGGCCAGATTCAGAAAGTGAAGGAGCAAGTGGCCAGTGGGGTAGTACTAGGAGAAAAACACCTTTGTGTTATGGGCTTTTGTGCAGCTCCAGGTGCCTGGGTGACGGACACCATAGAAAAACCTAAAATAGTGAAGGCAAGAGTGGTTCTGAAAGATCTGTATTGTAACAGCAACAAACCGCGCTACGGTGAGCACTGATTCACTAGTGATACTCTCCCAGGGTGTCTGGAGCCATGCGGCTTCTGGCCCCATGTGAACTGATGGCATGCTAATGTACACCCTGGCAGGGCTTATTACTCTACTAATCATCAGACAGCAGTGAATCATACCCCTAAGTGTGGCGTATGCAGGTGAAACACCTGCACATCATGAACACTTACCTGTCCTGGACAGTGCTCTGCATATATATAAAAGGTATATAAAAGGCAAGTGGACTGGCTGAATATTTTCAACATCCTAATTTGGGATAAAGAACGTGCCTTATGTTCGGGAGTTTAAGGGGAGAAAACTTCCTCAATTTTATTATTTATTTCTTAGTTATACGTTTGTTCTTGTGCTTCTCTGTGACTTGTGTTACCTTTGTCACCCCTGATTCAGTATTTAATGTTTTCCGGACACAACTGCTCAGCTTTAGTTAGCAATCCCATGAGCTTGGCCCAAAGCTGTTTCTAGAAAGTGGTATGAGTTACACCAGGATCAGCAACGTTTGCCATACGACCCGGGCCAGTTTGTTTACCTGCCACGTCCGCAGGTTCGGCCGATCGCGGCTCCCACTGGCCACGGTTCGCCGGTCCAGGCCAATGGGGGCTGCAGGAAGCGGCGCAGGCCGAGGGATGTGCTAGCCACCGCTTCCCGCAGCCCCCATTGGCCTGGAGCAGCGAACCACGGCCAATGGGAGCCGCGATCGGCCGAACCTGTGGACACGGCAGGTAAACAAACCGGCCTGGCCCGCCAGGGGGCTTACCCTGGTGGGCCACGGGCCAAACGTTGCCGATCCCTGAGTTACACAGAGGGTTTCTCCAAGCCCCACACAGCACATACTGATTTTAGCAATATAAAGGTGGTACTGTATACTCACTTCCAGTACTGCTCACTGGGAAGCTGCACTTGTTTATACGCTAAGCTGCCATTGAGACAGGTTAGATTGTTGCTGGTGACATACGAGTAGTTTGTATGAATGATTGTCCCGTTTGGTAAGGTCGTATTGCAATCGCTCACTAAAAGAGAAAGGGTTGTTAATGTTCAGTGGTGAAATTAGAAACAGACGTTGATTACAGTGAGTGCCTTTTTGGTGCTGTTATGGCTTCAGTGTGTATTCTTGTAGTAACTACAAACAGACCCCAGCCACCACTTTCAGAGGTGGATTTGGCTCCCGACCCAAACACTCCCAGGTCTGGTGTGTTCAGTTCTGGGAACCTGGCTGGACTAATGTAAAGACAGGAAATGTTCGCCATAATCAGATCTGGGTGCGGTTAAGATTTCCAGCTCTTTGATAATGTAAGGGCCAGATCCAGTATTTCAGTTCACACTTATCTATAGCAATCCCATATCACACTGATGGGAACAGACTGGCATTATTCCTAGTTCTCTTTAAAATGTACGGCAAATCTCTTGGCTACAATTTAAGCCAAACAAGCATTGATCAATGCATTAAATGCACTATCAGCGAGAGGATTTACTTGACGTGAAACCCTGGTGAAATTGTAGTGCAGAATTTTGGGGCAATTTGTCTGACTTTTATACCAATCCAGCACTCTTAATATGGGGTGAAACATTTTTTTTAGTCTTTAAAATGAGAATCTCCTTGAAATGTATAAATGTAAAACTGTTAAATAATATGTCAGAACTGCAGTCTGTGATAAACTATTAAACTTCACTGGGGGATGGGAAATTACCATTTTTAAATCACGCGTGCACACAGGCAATCAATAGCCTGGAAATATTATCTAAAGACATGATGAAACATGAAGCCAATGTCCATCCAACACATGATGTTAACAAAGCCACACATATAGGATACAGGATTTTGGAAGAGCCCCAGGTGAATGCACTAGGTATGCATTTCTGTTGCATTAGGACGGCCATGTCTTTGTCACGAAGCACTAATGAAATTGCAGTGCGGTATTTTGGGTGATTTTACACCAGTCTAGAGATCTGTTATTCTAGGGAAGAAGGAAAGATGGGCAGAAAGGCAGAGAGGAGGAGTCATTCTAGTTCCCAACAGATCACATGGCCAAATGCTACAGGCAGATAGAAAGAAGATCAGTCCAGGTGTCAACTAGTTGTCAAGGTAAGATTTCCAGTCAGCATCATGGCCAACTAACTGTCCCACTACTGCCCTTTTTCATGTCTTTTGTTTATTACTGGGAAACAGAAGCAATGGAATTATTCCTAGTAATAGTGTGGATTATTTAAAAGTACCGTACCCACAGGTGTTTTGCTGCAATTTTCATCTGCCCACGCAAAGCAGTCCGACCACGGCAGTACACTTTGGAAGGAGGCAAACAGATAGTAGAGGGCATAGGCAATGATAACATTGTAGTAGACCGTCACCAAGGTGGTGATGATGACCATCGTGATTCCCACTCCTAGAAAAGAGAGCAGAAGTTTCATCATCCAACTCAAACACAGTATAAAGAGAATGTCAATCATCAACTTCAGTGAACTCCACATTTCTCTACCCCTCTGCCTGTCTACCAGGAAGTAGGGTGACCTTTGGGATTTACAGGTTGCAGATTGCAATAAATAAAAAAAGCCTCAACATTGCTGAAGAGTTGGTGGGAGAGACACACTACATTTTAATAGCTGTAGGGAATGTCGTCACCCAATCCCAATGCTACATACCTCCTTGAAAATGTAGGGGAGGAAGGGTCAGTGTAATGCAGCAGGAGGACGAAAGTAACTCAGCCAGAGGTTAGGGGAGTACAGGAGTGGGTGGGTGAGGTTCTGTGGCCTGCGAGGTGCAGGAGGTCGGACCAGATGATCACAAGGGTCCCTTCTGGCCTTAAAGTCTACGAGTCTGTAATGTTAGTGTGTGGAGTGGCACAACTGAGGACGAAGATGCTATGGTGAAGAGGGCAGAATAGGAACAGAACAGAATACAACATCTGCTCAAAGGCAGTCCAAGCCAAAGAGAGGAGACCAGATTGCACTGGTTCAGATACCGAGGGGAGTCCAGTGCTGAAGGGAAAATTTGGACATAGCTGATTTCTATAGGCACGATGCGAAGTCGTGTCACTTCTGTGTGTAAATAAACTAACAGCTTAATCTTACTGATCTTTCTTAGCAGTAAGACTAAGATCATTCAGGCTAATCTGTTAGGTTATTTACATCATTTTAAAGATAAATATAAACAACTTGGTGAAGTAAGGGAGAGTCTTCTGCATTCCACATTGAGTTAGGGGGAAACGACACCATGCTAGTCCAAGAGTCCATGTTAGCGTTAAAGAACCAGGCCAGCTCACATACGGGAAGCCCAGTTAGGGAGGGGATGAGATCAGATCCCAGACTACCAGGAAAGAAGGAAACGGTGGCAATAGACTGTGAGCGGAAGAAAGCGGGGGATGTACCACATCACTCTCTGTAGCCAATACAAGGAGCAATGAATCTCGTGCTAAAGGGAACCATGTCCAGCTCTTTGCAGCTGAAGAAAGGATTGGTGAAGAAGATAGACAGGAGGGGAAAGGGAGGGTTCATCACTAAAAGAAATTTGTTTAATATAGGAAAATTGGGGTGGAAAATATCGGTGCTAATTAAATGGAAAAGCAGAACATCAGTGGAGAAGAATTACCTTCATTCCTTTTACCCTGGACAGTAACAAACAGAGATGGGCTGAAGCCACAAAATTAGGGACTGGATCCAGATTTTGAATATCCCAAATGGGGGTTTGGATCTAGGGTTTGGGCCAGCTGTGTAGAAAAATCAGAGCCATTTGTGAAGTCTGGGTGAGGTTTTAAACTTTCTGTATCCCTGAAGTTCAATGGATTTTGGTCTGGGTGTCTCGAAATAAAATGAAAGGAAACGTATGCAAAACTGGGGCTCATCGCATTGTTTGTGGAGATCTCATTGCGATTGCTAGTTGCATCAGTGAATGAAAGACAGCATCAAATAGTGGTTTGCAAGCACACTGCAGCTTTTCCTTTGTCAAAAGGAACTTTGTGAGTTTGAGGTCAACCTACCAAACCTTTTCTAATGATCTTGGGGAGTATATATGACATATGTGTTTACACACACACACAGCCCTGGTTATTTCCATAGACCCAACTGCCTTTGGGTTGGATCCAGGACCGGCTCCAGGGTTTTTGCCGCCCCAAGCGGACGGGGAAAAAAAAAAAAAAGCCGCGATCGCAATTGCGATCGGCAGCACTCCGGCGGCAGCTCAACCGCGCCGCTTTCTTCTTCGGCGGTAATTCGGTGGCTGGTGCTTCCCTCCGAGAGGGACCCGCCTCTGAATTGCCGCCGAACAGCCCGACGTGTCGCCCCTTCCCCTTGGCCGCCCCAAGCACCTGCTTGCTGGGCTGGTGCCTGGAGCCGGCCCTGTTTGGATCCATCCTTCTTTTCATCTTGTGCAGATTTTGAAAGCTTGTGTGCAGTGCCTGCTTGTTTCTGGTGAGTTTTGAGGCAGAAACTGGTCAGGAACAGTAAATGCCTGGACATAACCCCTTTTTGTTGTCTACTAATACACAGGATCAGTAAAGGCAAATAAAGCTCGTAATATGATTAAAAATGTAATGTCCTTATTCCTATCTTAATGCGGCTGGGTGGTCAGGAGGGCATGCAGGCCCAATCATGCCCTCGTTTATGTCCATCCTTGTTGGAGCAGAATGGATGCAAATAAGGGTGGAATTTGCCCCGTGATCCTGATTCCCATATGTGTGGGATGTCTCTGATTGCCTCACAGACCACACTGCTGGAATAGAGGCCCAGGGGCATAGGCGCGTAGGTGCATAATATGGTTCTTTACACGTGCAAGTGCCGATCTGAGCAGCTAAATGCAGGATTTGCATGTCTCATGCAGATCCCTATTTAGCATATAGAGTGAGAAGACATAGCCAGTAAATGAGAAACAATAAAGTTACATTGACACGCTGGAAAATTGCTGCTTCTGATGTATCACATATAGTGCCTCTCATACAGTACATACTAGCCCTCTGAGTTTGGCCATCCATGAAATGGCATGACACTCCATGTAGAGTCTAATTTACGACACTAGCCAGAAGCATTATGGGGAAATTATTAATCCACTTTTGACTATCAGAGCAACAAAAGAAGATCTATAAATAAAAAAATAATGTCACTGACCTTGTAAAATTGGTAATATTCTCCACACAGAAACTGGCCCCAAACTGGCAAACTGCCCCAGGGAACATTCCAAAAAAATAAAGGTAAACCAGCTAATGCCAGCATAGTTGTGTAGGGTATTAGAAAGGCACCTGTGGAAAATAAAAAAACCTATTATACCGGCACAATTCGACTCCTTTTTGTATAGCCATATATGCAAATATACCAAAGTGGTTTTTATTTTATACAGAATGTACAGATTGTTTTTTTAAAGGACTGTGTTCTGTAAAATCAATAGTATTTGCAGAGGAAAGCGGTAATTACTCGTTGGAGGTCTGATCCAGGTTCCAGTAAAGGTAACGTTAGTAACATAAGCATGGCTGTTATGTAAAATAAAATTCTCATGTATTTACTTCTTTCACAATGATAGATTCTTTAATTGCCTGTTAACTTGTCTATCCAGAGATGTTTGCTTGTGTCACATGTTTGCTTGTCCCTGATATACCTTCAGGCATGACTATGAATTGTGCCTATGGCCACAACTGAAAATATATTTCATGGGAAAAGATCAGTAGGCCAGAAAGATGCTGAGGTGGCTCGATCTCCGAATAACTTATTTAAAAGGCTAAGATTCAAGGCACAGTACTAAAGGCCCACCTCAAGGCTAAAACGGTGGGCCTTTCATATTTTGAATAAAAGGGAATAGATGTTCTTGCAAAACATATATATGAAAGTTTTAAAATTATCTAGTTTCCCCCACCGGCTTTTTACTTTCAGTAATTGCTCACAGGAACACTGTAATGTACCTCAGCCCAAGATTTAGATTTTGTCATTTAAAAATAAACATTTTATAAAACCAACTATTAATAAAAATTTAATTTGAACTTTAATGATTTAAGCAAAATAAAATGTGCACCACATTGCACTCACAAATCAGGTCCTTAGACTTCCACATTACGTCAGTTCCACCTGCAAATCAATGTAGGCTCAAAACTGCATCCATGGTTATTTGGACCTTGGATTTTCACACACACATAGAAAGGTTGAATGATCAAAGACCTGACCTCAGCTCTTTTCTATTTCTATAGGTACCAAGCAAATGTACAGCGCTATATAAATACTGATGATTAGAATCTGCTGTGTGCACTCCCTTGCCTGGGGAGGCTCAGCATGACTCAGATACTACCCCTACGAGTAAAAATAGCTCGATCTGGTCCATCATATAAACAACAGTAATTCAAAACAAACCTTTAACACTAATTTTAGACACTGCACGATGCCTCTAACTGCTTCTCCTCTGCAGCGCTGCCTCATGCTGTCACAGGCACCGAGAGCACTGAGCCACCCTGCTGGGCTCTGCAACTTAGAACTGACGAATTTTTATGGCACAACTTTTCTTTTGTGAAAATAAGGATAAAAAACTGTCCAACACATACTGCTCTTGTCAGGAAGACAGAGGCGATATCTGGCTGTGTATACTCTTGATTTTGTTTGCATTCTACGGTAGCGTATGCTTTTACATTTAAAACAGAAATGAACAGTTTCTTCTTTGTACTTAGTGGTGATTTGCACTCACTGTTAGAATGGCCAGAACATGGAAACGTTTGTAATTTGTTTCATATGGCTGACTTCTTTCTGATACGGAGCCTCAGCTGGCCCTTTGCATGAATGCTTTCCGAAATTCCATGTTAAACGGGGGTCAGGGACATCGGTGCTGGAAATAGGGGCGTTGGGGGTGCTGCCACAGCCCCTGGTTTGCAGTGGTTTCCATCATATACAGGGTTTATGGTTTGGTTCAATGGCTCTCAGCCCCCACATTATACACATTGTTCCAGCACCTCTCATTACTGAGATCTATTGTACTATGAGAAGGACCAGCATTTCATATTTGCTGTAGTGCATAAGTGTGAGAGAGAAACAGCACCCGGTAAGAGAGCGGATATTCATGCATGTGCAGCTGTTCATCTACTTTTTCTCTTCACCCACAGAGGGGTTTAAGATAAACTAGGGACCCAATTTGGCAAGATATTTAAACACATGCTTAACCTTAAGCATGTAGTAACCCCACTGAATTCAAGCAAACGACTCATGTTTAAAGCTAAGCAAATGCACACATGCCTTGCTGAAGGCACCTGGCCTTACAGGCAGAAGGATACAAAAAATAGTCCCAATAAAATATTTTTAAATTCTAAAATATTCCTCAGATAGCTGTTTTGTTCCATATACAAAAAGCCATGACACTGCAGTGTGACATACTGATTTTATTCACATTCGTTTGGGACTAGAATTCTGCTTCATCACTCATGAGTAATGCAACCAGGCCAAACACATGCCAATAAAAGATGTATGCCAAGAATGCCACTGTGTATTCTATATATCTATACTCAAATATCTGTATGTAAAATTGCATAATCTGGCTGTGTTGCACTTACAATATAAACACCCATTGACCTTAAATGGGAGTTGGACTAGGCCCTAAGGCACTTAGCTTAAACACCTGCCTTTCCCACCTGAAATAGAATCTCAAACCTCCACAAATCACAGGACAGGCCAAAGTTTGTCTATCCTGCCTCTGCATTCAGCGAAGTGATTCACCAGAGATTTGTCAGGTAAAGCCAGTCACGTGGTTCTATCAAGGCACCCATGGAATGTAACCTCGTAATGAATAGATTAGAGACCTTTATCCTTAGTCTTTGTTTGGGGTAAACTATTTTTAATCCAGGTAAAAAAGGGGATGCCACTTTAAAATAGGCCCTTTAAAATAAATAGGCATTGAGCATCATGTAGTGTGGGACGGTTTCTAATTGGAGTGTAGCATTGTGAAGTATAGATAAGTGTAACCTTCAACATTTACATCAGAAACAGCCATTAACAACAAACAGAATAGGCTCTACGTCAGGGATGCTCAAACTTCACTGTACCGCGACCCCCTTCTGAGACCAAAAATTATTACTCGACCCCGGGGAGGGGGACCGAAGCCCCCCGCCCACTGCCTTGGGTGGAGTGGGGGGAGGGGGGAGTCAAAGCCAAAGCCCAAGGGCTTCAGCCCCAGACAAGGGGCCTGTAACCCGAGCCCTGCCACCCAGGCCTGAAACTCCCGGGCTTCGGCTTCAGCCCCGGGCTCCAGCAAGACTAAGCCAGCCCTGGCGATCCCATTAAAACAGGGTCGCAACCCACTTTGGGGTCCCGACCCACAGTTTGAGAAACCCACAGTGTCATTTATTTCAGGTCACATCACAATTACTTTTCTCTGTGTTCTTCGGTCTAATGATTTCAGCTTTAAAGCCTGTCCTGCAACTCTTACTCACATGAGTAACCCTCTCTCAGATGACTAGTCCTATTACACTGACAATAGTGAAGCGGGGGTGTCTCCAGGCCCCAGGCCAGCAAAGCACTTAGGTAGGCGGAGAAGCACATGAGCAGTCAAACTAACTTGAAGTCTCACGCATGTGCTTAAATGCGTTGCTGGACTGAGGCCTCAGGAATTACCAAATGCTGAGAATATTGCGGTCTGGTTGGTTACCCAGCCCTGGCAGTAAGTTAGGTCCACAGAGCACTGGAATGGGAGTCAGGAGACCCGGATTCTGGTTTGGGTTCTGCCACTGGCTCATTGCATAAGTCTGAACAAGTTACAGCCTCTCTGTACCTCGTTTTCCCATCTGTCTGATGGGGGTGCTTCTCTTCTTCTCCTTGCTTGGAGAGCCTCAGATGGACATGACTAATTAAGTGCTAAATAGGTTTAACATTGTATTAAAGCTAATGTTAAAATTATATAATACACAGGTTGAGAAAAGAGTCTCTATATATCTGGGCATAGTGCAGGGGTGGGCAAACTACGGCCCGGGGGCCACATCCGGCCCATCAGACGTTTTAATCCAGCCCTCGAGCTCCCACTGAGGAATGGGATCCGGGGCTTGCCCCACTCTGTGCAGCTCCTGGAAGCAGCGGCATGTTCTCCCTCCGGCTCCTACATGTAAAGGCAGCCACAGGGCTCCGCATGCTGCCCAAGCCCCAAGCGCTGCCCCCGCAGCTCCCATTGGCTGAGAACTGCGGCCAATGGGAGCTGCAGGAATGGCACCTCCAGACAGGGCAGCATGCAGAGCTACCTGGCTGCGCCTCTGCTTAGGAGCCGTCCTCGCTGCTGCTTGAGGTAAGCGCCGCCCAGACCTGCACCCCTGACTCCCTCCCACACCCCAACCCCCTGCCCCATGCCTGATCCCCCTCCCACCCTCTGAACCCCTTGGTCCCAGCCCAGAGCAGCCTCCTGCACCCCTCATTCCCAGCTCCACCCCAGAGTCCGCACCCCCCAGCTGGAACCCTCACCCCCCACACACACACCCTGCCCCAATCCAGAGCCCCCTCTTGCACCCCAAACTCCTCATTTCTAGCCCCACCCCAGAGCCCTTCCCCCTCCTGCACTCCCACCACCAATTTCATGAGCATTCATGGCCCGCCATACAATTTCCATGCCCAGATGTGGCCCTCGGGCTAAAAAGTTTGCCCACCCCGGTACAGTGCTTAGATTATCCACAGATACAAAGTTTGTTTAAAAACACATAAAGTACATATAGTACATAATCTGCGAGAACCCAAATGTAGATAAATTTAACCATACAGTTTAGATATTAGACTCCAAATACTCCGGGACATCACTCATGAAATGTTATACAGAGAATTGGTTGTAGAAAGCAAATATAGAAATGAGTGTAGATTGTCCCACAGTAATTGAGCATTTAGGATGGGTTGTCTCTTAGTAGTTATAACCCATCAGGGAAGTATTTCAGTTACTTTCCTGATAGTTACACTATCATCATTACCTGACAGGTAAGGAGTTTGGAACTGATACTTCACATTTTCCTTCTGTTCCTAGCACCCTGATCCACTTCTCACTAGAGATGGGCCACCCCCACCTTCTCCAGGGTTAGGGTTTGGGTTTAGCCGATGATAAAGGCTGATGCCAGCTGTAACGTTCATTCAAATCTGAATCCCAACTTCTCCAAAAGCTCAGGGATGTTTGGATCTGAGATTCGGGTTTGAGAGGGTCTAACAAATAGCCCCGGGTACTCACGATCACGCTCTCCTCAAGCAGGGAGCTTGGGGACAGCCGGTGCGTTGGGTTTGGGTAGCGCACTGCAGAGAAAGGGCAACACTCACCCCCTCCGTTCTGGTAAGTGAGGTAGGGGAACCGCCAGACGTTCCCCAGCCCCACCGCGTAGCCGACCATGGACAGCAGATAGTCCGTCTTGCTGGACCAGTTCCCACGCTCCGAGTTCTCGTCATCCTGCCCCGCGGGGGCATCTTTCCCCTTCGACAACGTGAAGTCCTTGGGGAGCAGAGAGGGGGAAATCACCACGGGCCCTGGGAGCTTCTCTGCCGGTCCCATCGACCGCGCCAAGAGCCCCGCGGCTCCGGACCCGAAACGTGGAGCCGAAGGGAGAGAGACGGAGCCCCGACCCCGGTGCTGCCCGTGTTTCTGGGGACACCCGGCTCCCCGGCTCCATTGGGTGCCTCGGGGCTCCTGCCCGGGGGTCTCGGCCCCCCGACTGCACCTTCCCGGGATCTTGAGACCTCTCCCCCGCTGCATCTGCTCAGGGGCCCCGAGCACCCCCCGGCTGCACCTGCCCCGGGTCCCCGAGCGCCTCCCTCCCGGCTGCACCTGCCCCGGGTCCCCGAGCGCC